TGTGGCTAAGCAGCACATAGATTAGAGGCAGACTAAAAATAAAATGGGTGTACATTTTGTTCAAAAAATCGGAAAAAAAATAGATAAAAAGAAACACATATCATAGGAGGAGAATTCATTAGATTTTTAAACTGATGATTCTGCATAGTGTTTTTGTTTTGTTTTTTCAAATATTTTTATGGATACATTTTTTCAATGACAATAATAATAATAATAACAATAGTAAAAATAACAAACTAAAATTTAGCACTGCAATCAAACAGGGGAATATAAATGTATATTTACATCCATTGATATGTCATATAATATTGCAAGTCAAAATGAACATATTGATAATAAAAAAAATATTATAGAAAGAGATGATTGTCTTTGAGGTTGTTTATATTAAGGTATTAAAATGAATATCAAATTTAAAAGAAATTAAAACAAAGGTCTGGTCAGGTGGAAGTCCAGGAGATACATTATATTGATGTCTAATTTTTTCTTCCCACACCGCCCATTCCTGTTTTAAAAGAGGTACATCATCAGAAGGTATGCAGAGTGCTAGCTCATAACTTAGAAAGACTGATTTAAGAATTTCGCTAATAGTTGGTATAGTAGTGGACTACAGTGTCTGGGGATTATAGAGGTGGCATGAGTAGGTGGCCTAACATGATAGTCTTATTTTATTGACAGGGAAATTCTCAAATATACACAGTTCTGGTGATAGGGGTACATTATGGTCAATTCAAGAAATAACCAAAAAGAAGAGGAGAGGCTGCAGTGTTAACCTAGTCAGCACTGATGCCTCTTAACTGGTTACAGAGGAACTCGAGGGCATCAACCCTAAAAATTGAGAAATAAATCCACGTATGGAATCTTAACCATTTGGAGGTTCTCCTTTTTGGAGGTGGGACCTCCCATAATTTTGTGAGGGGTTATCCCTACTCCATTCTAGTATTTATTTCTAAAAATAACTAGTCGACGAATATCCTTCCAAAATTTGTCTAGTTTGGGACAGGACCAAAAAATATGATGGTGTGCCTACCTGACCACATTCCCTCCAACATACATTAGTATTTGACAATTTTAGTTTAAACAGTCTAGGTGGAGTTAAATATCACCTGTAAATTAATTTGAAAATTTGTTTTGTAAAATGTTTGTTTTTATTCTGGTGGAAACTACTTATTTTCTATTTCTATCATATTTAGATTTAATTTTTTTTCTCTTTTACTCTTGTCTTGGACTTTATCTAATTTTTTTATTGGATTTAACAAAATTAAATGTTTGAAATGTATACACATTATCTGTGGATAATTAAAGCAGACCTCTATAACTGCAGCTTGCGAGATATTGCAAGGCGAATAGGCGGAGAGTGCTATCCCTGGCCTCTTTTCCAGGGATGAAGCCTGTCTGATCTGCGTGAATAAGGTCGGGTACACGTTTGCATCCTAGTCACTAAAACCTTGGTAAACAGTTTAACGTCCACATTCAAAAGAGAGATTGGGCAGTAACTACCACAGTTTTTGGGGTCTTTATCTGGCTTCAGTAGAACGGTGATCATAGCAGCTAAAGATTCTCTGTGGAATACTCTATCTTCTGATAGCTTATTCAGAGATTTTATTAGTCTGGGTATCAGGAGGTGTGAGAACACCTTATAGTATGCCAGGGACAAACTGTCTGGTCCAAGTGCCCTCCCCGTCTTAGTGGTTTTCATTGCGGACAGAAGTTCATCTTCTCCCAGGGGTGCATCTAGCGCTTCCACTGTTTCAGTTAGTATTACGCTTGGCTTCTGGTCGGTAAGGTAATTCTGGAAAGCAGAGAAATGTTCCGTGTCCCTTGTACGGGTGGGATTTCCAGTGGTCTTATATAGCGTGGAGTAGAATGTCGCGTGGGAACTGGGAGTCCTTCCCCGATGTCAGCTTGAGTTTATGTATCTGTGTGCATGTCAGCCAGATACTTACCCCCTTTATTGGTGTGTGTGTAAAAAAAAAAAACATTTCGATCTCTGGATGCCCCTATAATGTCTTTGTGTCAAGAGATCTGTAAGCTGACGTCTAGCTTCCAGTAATTCCATGTTGATGGACTCCAAATGTGACCTTTTGTGCTGAAGTTGTAATCTGAGTGGCCAATTCAGCTTTATTTTTCTTCTTTGTTGCAAGGCCAATCAAACGGACGACACTCTTGTGCGTCTCCTACAATGTGAGGTGACATATCGCTGGTGTCATTTTCCGCAAAATAGAGGGTCAATGCATTTCCCACCTGTTTTTTAAAGGTGGGGTCCAACAGCAGGGTTTCGTTGTCGCCAAGTCCACTAAGCTGGTGTAGAGAGGGGGATTCTATACAGATGTGAACCAGTCCATGGTCAGACCAGGTGGAGGGTCAAATTGTTGCTTTAAAGGACCACTATAGTGCCAGGAAAACATACTCGTTTTCCTGGCACTATAGTGCCCTGAGGGTGCCCCCACCCTCAGGGAACCCCTCCCGCCCAGCTCTGGAAAGGGGAAAGGGGTTTAAACGTACCTTTTTCCAGTGCTGGGCGGGGAGCTCACCTCCTCCGATCCTCCTCCGTTCCGCCCCGCCGGCTGAATGCGCACGCGCGGCAAGAGCTGCACGCGCATTCAGCCGGTCGCATAGGAAAGCATTTACAATGCTTTCCTATGGACGCTGGCGTGCTCTCACTGTGAAAATCACAGTGAGAAGCACGCAAGCGCCTCTAGTGGCTGTCAATGAGACAGCCACTAGAGGAATTGGAGGAAGGCTTAACCCATTAATAAACATAGCAGATTCTCTGAAACTGCTATGTTTATTAAAAAATGGGTTAACCCTAGCTGGACCTGGCACCCAGACCACTTCATTAAGCTGAAGTGGTCTGGGTGCCTAGAGTGGTCCTTTAAGTAGACGGTCAAGGTCCTCTTGCTGAAAAAACAGGTAATCGATACGGGCGTAATGACTATAGACTGGGAAATAGTAAGTATAGTCCCTATTTGTGGGAATGCAGGCCCTCCAGCAATCTATGAATCTTAAATCTAGGAGTGCAAGACGAATTGCTCGGATATGTCGCTGAGAGACGCAGCTGTGGCCTGTAGAAGAGTGCAAGATAGGGTCTAGGGGGACATTTAAGTCTCCCCCCAAAATCAGGAAGCCTTCCGTGAAGCGTTTTAGTTTAGTCAGTGTCTTACACAGGAAATGTGATTGCCATGATAAGGGGCGTATATAACCACCAGTGTGTAAAGTTTATCAGCAACCTTTCCTTTGACAAAAAGATACCTGACCTCTGGATAAAAAGGTGAAAATTGTGATGCATTTACCACTATAAAACTGTATGTTCAGAATAAAAACAGAAAAGTTACTTCACCTTCCTTTTATTAAAATAACATTTAATTGGTAGACTTATTGTTTTAAACTCATTTTTTTGCAAATGTAGATTTCTGTGGCAGAACCACATTAACACCTTAAGGACACATGACATGTGTGACATGTCATGATTCCCTTTTATTCCAGAAGTTTGGTCCTTAAGGGGTTAAGGGTAAGTCTTACATTATAGTGGATCTTTAATGTGAAGGTCAAGTCAATTCAGCTAAGCTAACCATTTTTAAATGGTTTAACCCCAAAGTTGCCTCAAGCGACACTACACTCCCAACCCAGGCAGCACCTGACTTGTGAAATTTCACTTTCAGTGCAACATACTGCCGAGGAGGGGCGCTGCTGATTGGCTGAGGACAGTCAGGTGATTCTACCTGCCTGGCGACACTCCGTGCTTCCATTTAATTTCTATTCACGTTTAGAGAATAGCACCTACAGAGCATCCAGGCCAGTTTATGCTCAGTTAGGATTACTCTATTACAAAAGGAAGAGAGCTTTGCATTGCTCTTTTACAGAGCTCAGAATCTTGAAAAAACTTCCAAAAAATATCAAACATTAAAAAACCTTGATATATCTTGAGAAAAATTAACATTAGTAGTTGTTATTTTCGCTAACGATAGAGATAATGATAATTATTTGTATCTTTAGCTAAAACAACTATTACAGTTCATTTGTTTTGCATGTGATTTTAAATATGTTACTAGATGTAAGTTTATTGTATTGGCTCTGCTTCCCAAGACATAAACTCTAAAACAAACAATGTAATGTAAGTACATACTCAGAATCTGGGTGCTAGCAACGAGCAACTCCCTGTCCTAACCCCAAAGACTCAAAGTAAAATAAAGCTTAAAAAAAAATACTATAAAACTATTATTAAAAGTATATAATAAAATTATGTCGTTTCATCTCTATTATTTATTGTGACAACATACCAGGGTCAGTTTTGTTTGAAACTCTAGTGTAGTGGAACAGCTTAGCTTTACAATCATGATCTTCAGGTAGTATCCTGAAGGAGACAGGTACCTGTGGGTCAGTGGTGGGATGGAGGTTTTATTAGCAGAAATAGTCTTAAGCGTAGTATATGATAAGGGTGATGGCATAAAGTGAAGTCAATTAGCCCAAAAGTTGGGGCAGGCAGCAAACAGCGGAGTCAGGAGTCAACCCAAAGTCAAAACCAAAGAAAACTAATTTATGGCGATTTTACAGGAATGGGGAAGTAGGGACAACAATACATGATCGATAGACGTGTGGCAGAATTACAGAATAACCAAGCAGTCACTGGGGGGTTGCACACTGGCTTTAAAGGGCTCCTCAGTCATGTAACCGTCAACTTCCTGGGTCACAACTGGGTTAATAAATTAGATCTGCGAACTCAGCGCCATTTGGCCACATTGTCCTTGCTCCACCACTTTGGCACACACCCCAACCATGCCAGTAGATATAGCTGCCATATCAAATGTAGAGAACAGATGTCTGGGCACACACAGGATGTCCAAACTGCAGACTTTATTAGAGTGAAATGGCAATGTTTGAGAATGGCTCTTCTCTACATTTGGTATACTTCAAAGAATTGGTAGTCTCCTGGTTCATTTGAGAATCACAGTGTGGATAGTCTAAGGAAAAGGCGTGTGCTGTTCCTGTTTTGTATATTGAAGAGCATCCGAATCAGTGAACAAGGGAGAGGGAGTACCAGATCTAGCAACCACAGAAGGAGTACCGAATCTAGCAACCACAGATGGAGTACTGGATCTAGTTACCACAGTGGGAGTACCGGATCTAGCAATCACAGAGGGAGTACCGGATATAGCAACCACAGTGGGAGTACCGGATCTAGCAACCACAGAGGGAGTATAGGATCTAGCAACCACAGTGGGAGTACCGGATCTAGCAACCACAGTGGGAGTACCGGATCCAGCAACTACAGTGCGGTCAGGGTAGATCTGGGACAAGGAGGTGAGTGACGTCAAGCTTTATGACATTTAGCTGTTCCACACTATTTAGTGCACCTTACTCCATGATAAATAAATAAATAAAAACATGGAGCAATTTCAAATAATTTAAGGTAAAAAAGTGTAGCACTAATAATAAATGAATACAGCATCAACTTCTGTTATATTGAATAATATATTGAATTTTGTATAATCTCAATCCCTTAACAATCACATGACAGCCTATGCCATTACACAGTCTTTAAATCTTTTTAAATAGCTCGGCTGAGCATGTGATGATAGCCGAAAAATACAAGTATAAATTTCAAATGAATGGAGCACAATATTGGAGGCTGTGAAAAGTAGCTACCTAGTAAGGTCACTTGCAAATTAGTAAACACAATATAGGGACAAGACCAGACATGGCTATTCTTGGTAAATATATTTTTAGATACCCTATTAAAGTTGGGGCAGGGGGAATAAGAAGCTTTATGAGTCAATAAAAACAAGTCATACTTAGCAGGAATGCCTTATACTACTCATAAGGTCCCATGTGATACCCTCAACCTTATTTTCTCTTATTCATGTACAGTATCTAATATCTGCAACACTCCATTTCCTCTCTCTGATCACCACCTCTTATCGTTTGCTCTCAATTACCCCCACACCCAACAATCTCAGCCTAACCCCCCTCAGCTCAGGAGGAACCTTAACTCTATTGACCTCCAGCAGCTGTCAGCTGATATTGATTCACAACTGCTATCCATCCCTTCCCTCTCCTGTCCCTCACTGGCCATCTCCACATATAACACTACCCTCACATCTGCCTTGAACGCTGCAGCCCAACTCCAAACATGCACCTCGAGGAGGACACGACCCCAACCTTGGCATAATAAATCAACACGCTATCTGCAGAGTTGCTCCTGTTGTGCTGAATGCTCCTGGAGGATTCATGTTGCTTTCATACAGCGCAGCCCTCGTCCTCACCAAACAATCATACTTTTCCTCTCTCATTAGTTCATGCTCCCGCAATCCCAGACGTCTCTTTGACACCTTTAATTCCCTTCTCCGCCCTGCTGTGGCCACCCCCCAAACTAACCTTACAGCTGATAGCTTTGCATGCTACTTTACCAACAAGATTGAACAGCTAAGGAAACAATTCTCCCCTCCTTGCCGTTCTCTTTCTCAACCACATGTAAATCATGCTTTCCCTACCCTCCAGACTTTCTACCCAGCTACTGAACAAGAGGTGGCTGCGCTTCTCCATTCCTCTCGCCCCACCACTTGCCCGCTCAAATCTGTCCCATCTCACCTCATCAGATCTCTCTCCCCTTGTCTTGTGCCTACCCTAACACACATCTTTAACTGCTCTCTCTCTTCTGGCACTGTTCCTGCTGACCTTAAACATGCCACTGTAATACCTATCCTGAAAAAAACATCTCTTGACCCATCCTCCCCTTCTAACTATCGTCCCATATCCATGCTCCCTTTCTGATCAAAGCTTTTGGAAAGACTTGTCTTTACCCGTGTGTCTCGCTTCCTTAATTCCAACTCTTTCCTTTACCCTCTTCAGTCTGGCTTCCACCCTCTCCACTCTACTGAGACTGCTCTTATCAAAGTGACTAATGACCTAATCTCCGCTAAATCCAAAGGTCACTACTCCATATTAATTCTCCTTGACCTCTCTGCTGCCTTTGACACCGTTGATCATGCTCTCCTCCTTCAAACTCTTCAATCGCTCGGTCTCTGTGACTCTGTCCTCTCTTGGTTTTCCTCCTATCTCTCCCAGCGCTCATTCAGTGTCTCCTTTTCCAAGGATACCTCCTCCCCTCGTCCTGTCTCGGTTGGAGTTCCCAAAGGGTCTGTCCTTGGGCCCCTTCTATTTTCTCTTTATACTGCCTCTCTTGGTAAACTTATTGCCTCTTTTGGATTCCACTACCACCTGTACGCTGATGACACTCAGATATACCTCTCCTCCCCGGACCTCTCCCCTGCCGTCCTGCAACATGTCACTGCTTGCCTTTCTTCCGTCTCTGACTGGATGTCCTCACGCTTTCTGAAACTTAACCTCTCTAAAACTGAACTCCTTGTCTTTCCTCCTCCTAATACTCATCCTCCTCTCTGGCTCTCCCTTCAAGTCAGTGATATCCACATAAGTCCATCCCTGCAAGCGCGCTGTCTTGGCGTCATACTTGACTCTGGTCTCACCTTTGAGTCTCACATCCAGTCTGTTGCCAAGTCCTGTAGGTTCCAGCTCAAAAACATAGCCCGCATCCGCCCCTTTCTTACGCAAGATGCTACCAAGGAGCTTATCCATGCTCTAGTAATTTCCCGCATGGATTACTGTAACCCTCTCCTGATTGTCTGTAATGAATGCTGCAGCTAGACTGATTTTCCTCTCTAGTCGGTCCTCTCACACCTCACCCCTCTGCCAGTCCCTACATTGGCTCCCTGTATGCCATAGGAGTCAATTCAAAGTGCTAACCCATACATTTAAAGCACTGAACAATTCTAGCCCCTCTTATATCTCTTCACTAATCCATAGGTATGCCCCTCCTCGTTCCCTCCGCTCTGCCCGTGACCACCTCCTGACCGCTGCTCGCACCCGTACGGCCAACTCGCGCTTGCAGGACCTCTCGCGGGTGGCTCCTCTCCTATGGAATAGCTTGCCTACCGCCATCAGACTCTCCCCTAGTCTTCAATCATTTAAGAAGGGCCTTAAAACCCATCTCTTCAGGAAAGCTTATGGCCTCCCAGAGTAATCTATACCTTACTTACCTGTCTCCTGCTCTCTCCTATGGGACAGTGCTTTGCTCTCTCCTCCAGCTCTGCTTCACTCCTACTTGCTATTTCTTGTCCTAACATGTCTTATACCCCACCTCCTATAGTCTGTAAGCTCGTTTGAGCAGGGTCCTCTTCAACCTATTGTTGTACGTTTTCTTGTAATAGTCCTATTTATTGTTACATCCCCCTTCTCAAAATATTGTAAAGCGCTACGGAATCTGTTGGTGCTATATAAATGGCGATAATAATAATGTGCCAGCTATAGATGACACCAAGGAGGTTGATGGACCACGTTCCACAGCAGACAAAGGTAAGATGTTAAGGGGCTGAAGAAACAGGGCAATTTTTGAGAGATTTCAGACAATAAAGTTTGCCATTGTTGGTAAAAAGGAGAGCTCACCTCACAACCCAGCCATTGGCAGTACCTGGTGACCGAAGTCAGAGATGTTCTCCATTACAATGTGGATCAGCATAATACGCTTCCAAATACTATTTGAGTGTACTAAGCTAGGTAGCCTGCAGGACTGTAGGTGTTAAAGGAGAACTGTCAGCTCAACATTATTTTTTAATATAATGATCATTTCATCAAGTTTTGAAAGAAAATAGATTTTTTTTTAAATTGAAGTATATGTAGTATATGACAGGATCGTTCAGCCATATACAGTTTGGTACCTTTCTGAGGAGAAACGATCACACTGGTGAGCTCTGCAACACAAAAAGGCCTGGGCTTCCACAGTAAACAACAGTGGTGGATGATCGTAGGATCCTCTCCATGGTAAAGAAACACCCTGTCACCAAGGTAACAAAGACTACAAGTATAGAGAATGCCCTTGATGAAAGTGCATGTAATACTGCACCGAAACACGTGTCACGCATTTTCTTCACTCCCTTTTAGCACTGTGCACGTTTGGGCACATGTTACATTCTATTCTATCTTGTATTCTTTATCCTGCCTAGCTAGTTTCTAAGGGAGATAGGGCAACCCTAGTTTGGTGCCTGCTAACACGCAGTTTGGTGTAGCTTTTGTAGTCTTTGTTACCTTTTAGAGCATTTTGTATATATCTTACATATAATACTGTTGCTAGTCACCCGCCTCCATACAATTATGCCATGTCAGTTACTGAGGTTTTTTTCTACAGAGACTTCTATACGATTTTCAAAGGTTTAGATGTCCTACTCCCATTATTCCCTATGTCAGATTAGCTACACGTTATATGGAGTGCAGAGGTCTGAGCAGTGGCGTACACACGGCCCAAGGGCCCCGGGTGCAAAAATTGATCCGTGCCCCCCCACACGCTTACTCTGTGTGGGGTGGAGCCGCAACACATGGCGGCGGGCACCGGGTCGAAGGGCTGCGACCCCTGCGACCGCGTTATGTACGCCAGTGCATGCAGATACACACACACTTAAAGGACCACTACAGACACCCAGATCACATCAACTCAATGAAGTGGTCTGGGTGCCAGGTCCCTCTAGTTTTAACCCTGCAGCTGAAAACATAGCAGAGAAACTGCTATGTTTCACTGAGGGTTAATCCAGCCTCTAGTGGCTGTCTCACTGACAGCCGCTAGAGGCACTTCCGCAATTCTCACTGTGAAAATCACAGTGAGAAGACGCTGGACGTCCATAGGAAAGCATTGAGTAATGCTTTCCTATGGGCGGTTTGAATGTGCGCACGGCTCTTGCCGCGCATGCGCATTCGGAGCTGAGAGGCGGATCGGGGCCGAGGGATCCCCAGCGCCAAGGGAGTCCGGCACTGGAGAAAGGTAAGTGCTGAAGGGGTTTTAAACACACACTCTCACGAACAGACGCACACATTTACTGACAGAGACACACTCAGTGACATACATACATACACACTCACTGACAGACAGACACATACATGGAGTGCAGAATTATTAGGCAAGTTGTATTTTTGAGGATTAATTTTATTATTGAACAACAACCATGTTCTCAATGAACCCAAAAAACTCATTAATATCAAAGCTGAATATTTTTGGAAGTAGTTTTTAGTTTGTTTTTAGTTTTAGCTATGTTAGGGGGATATCTGTGTGTGCAGGTGACTATTACTGTGCATAATTATTAGGCAACTTAACAAAAACAAATATATACCCATTTCAATTATTTATTATTACCAGTGAA